GATTTTCAAAATTACTGTAGGCTAGGATAATCTTTTGATTTATGGATGGTGCCATCACCGCAGATGATGCAGCTGAGAGTATCTCGAGTGCAATTTGTCTTCATCTTATTTCAGTTTGGTATTACTATATAAAAATTCATATTTGTAGGCTGTAGGTCATGAAAGCTGTGAAATTGATGTAATGTGATTCGAAGGAAGGAGGGAAGGATTAATATCTCAAATAATTAATCAATTATCACGGCTATATCAGTGATGCGGTACAAAACGTTCAAATCGCTGAAGTGAGTGCGGCGATTGCTGCTTTGGTGTTGTGCGTTGTTTCGACTTTCGTCGGGCGTTGTCGATGCCTCGCACCTGTTGATCCGTGGCCGTCGTCTGCAGAAAGCCGTCAGTCACATGTGACGGTCGTGTGAACGGAGGTGGCGGCCGTTGGACGGATCTGCCGAGTGGTAGGTGCGAATTTTCACACCCGTTCGGGCCAGACCAACAGATTAGTTCGACCAACGGTGTGATCGCGGCACGGAAGCGAAGTACAAATGACGGCCGCTTGTCGCCAAAGTTAACAAATCATTGTCAAGGCGGTTAGGCACTTGAGTGGAAGGACGCTTTTGTCAACCGGTCTGTCGGCCAAAAAGAGCACTTGTCCGTCGTTGTCCTGTTCGTCGGTCGCCCGGTGATCGTCTGGCCCCGACGACGGAATGCCAGTTCAGCGGCAGGACAAAAAAACGCTCAGACGATACGGCTTTTTCACGGCGCACTTTCGCTCCCGAGCTTTGTTTGGCCGTCCCTTTCGTCCGTTTCGTCCCTTTGTGGCAGGAGGTCGGTGATTGATTCATAAGGCTGACGGCGGCGACCGGCGGAAAACTAAGTGATGCCGCTTTTGGAAATTAACTTCTTTGATAGCGAAATGCCAAGGACTCGCGACGGTTGATTTACGCAGGGTGCCTCCTGCCTCGACCACCAGCCGGCCGGCCGGCGGCCGGCGGCCAAGGAGGCCAGAGGATCGCAGTCAAGCACCGTTTAGCCTTGGCACAGATCACTTCACTTCTGCTAGAATAGTGTCCCTGCGTTCTTCACCGCACTTCGCGTGTTGCCTTGCCCAAAAATAACCACCCCTGCCCTTGGGCTATGGCTTAACAGCGCCCCCCCCCTCGAGTACGTCAGCCAACGAAAAAATGCATTTTCGTCGATTGTTTCGTGAGTACCGTTCAACTAGGCCCTCGGCCCTCGGTTTACAGTTTCCTGATAGTGGAATCTGGGACATAGCCGTATTATTTTTACGACCTCGATGTCGAAACACTTCGTTCAAGTCTTAATTCTGGTTCAAGGGTACCGTCGTGCATGCCGTAGCCTCTGTATCGTTGTTCTTCTCTTCTAGGCCATACGAAAGTCTAAAATTTTTTTTATTAACTCGACCAACAGCAATTTAAATTATTTTATGATATCGAAATCACAGCAATGTTAGGCTATTTCCAAGTTTGATGAGTTTGGCCGATTCTACCATGTGAACTCTGCAAAACAACGCCCTTTGGTCCTTCTCAAAAACAGTGGTGAAAATTAACTCA